CACCGTGCCGGAGGTGGAGTGGTTGGAGGAGGACGAGGTSCTGGTGGAGCGGAAGGTGGAGGGTGAAGGTGCCGGGGTCCTGCCCAGCATGGACGTCCCGCCGGCACTGCTGGCCCCGCGCAGCTCCGTCTCCTTCGCTGACTCCCCCAAGAAGAGGTTCTTCTAGGGCCAGGGGACCTCCCCTGCCACCAGCGGGACCCCACAGCCCTGCCCGACTGTCAGGTCACAGCACAGATGCTGCCATGGCTTCCTCCTCCCTGCCAGCCCCAGCGCTCCCCCCAGCTCCTCACCCAGCAGAGCTGCCTGCCCCAGCCCCGCTCGGCCCAGCACAGCACGGGGAGTGGCAGGGCTGGGACCCGAACCTTTGCCAGGGGTAACAGCACCCCTTGGCACAGCCGAGCCACCCTTGGGCATGGGCACGTGGGGTGGGACACGTGTGTGGGTGCACGGGGAGTGGCAGGGCTGGGACCCGAACCTTTGCCAGGGGTAACAGCACCCCTTGGCACAGCCGAGCCACCCTTGGGCATGGGCACGTGGGGCGGGACACGTGTGTGGGTGCACACGTGGACACACGTGGGTGGGTAAGGGTGGGTGCTCAGCGGTGCAAACCCCTGGCGTGGGGGCACAGACACTTGTGGGCAGGGGGCACAGACGTGGGTGTGCACATGGAAACATGGAAACATGGATGCAAACACCTTCGGGGGGTCCCACATCAGCACAGGCACACAGGGAGGGACGGACAGACAGACGGACAGACACCAAGGCTATGCTGCCCCACCTGCCCCTTGGTGCCCTGGCACTGCCAGGCTGTGCCCAGTGGCACCCACAGATGCTCCAAAGCCAGTCTTGGGGGAAAAGTACCCGTGAGCCTCTCTGTGGCCCAGGGTGAGGGCACTGGGGATGGGGGCTGTCATACAGACCCACACCCCCTGCCTGAAACCCAGGCTGGGGCTGGATTCCCTGTCCCCACCCCTGCAGTGGCACCCCTGTCCTTGTGTCCCCAGGCTCCTTCACCCCTCAGGAAATCACCACAGTCAGGGTGGTCCTGCCAGAACCCCCTGTCCATCCCTGGGGTGCTGCTGGCCACCCCATACCTCAGTTTCCCCTGTGCTCTGGTGGTCTCCCCAATGACACCATTAATATTCAGCGGGGGACGGTACCAGGCACTCCTTGGGACGGGATGGAGTCCACCTGGCACGAACTGGGATCCTCTGGAGGCCTGGGGAAGGGCTGGGAGTGGCCTGGCACTGCCCGTTGCCCGTTGTGCTGCCCCACCCCCATGGGATCTGCCCCAGCGCTGCCAGTGGGGGTGAATTGG